CAACTGGCCTAAGTCAAACAATAGATGAGGTGTGCTCCTGCTTTGTAGAAATGTTGGATCAGCCCTATGCAGAGAATTTTGGACACTGTTAGACGGACCATGAAATGCAAAGTATTAAAAAAAAAGTTAATACACACGTGACAGGACAAACACAGTTGAATACACAGTCATATGCAAAAGTTTGGGGAGGTCAAATTTCATGTTTTGGTGAAAGTACGTACACACTTCAACGCACAATTACTGTATATTTATTAATGTTTAACATATTGAAGAAAAAAAAACATAACATGCGGCCTGTGCAAAAGTTACAGCACATTTTATACTTTATGTTTCACACTAAAATTATCAGACAAAAATGCCATATTTATGTTTGTTACTTGTAGAGGGATGTGTTAACTTACAGTCAGGAAGTTAGGAAAGGAGGTTAGGAAATCAACAAAGCATGTAGTTTGACCAGGGGTGTCCAAACTTCGATGAAAAAGCTTTTAACCTTTGAAAATAATCTGTAAATTGTATTCTGGCACATACTTTTTTTGTTGAATAATATTGAAATTGATTCTGACAATCTAATATCATCCATCACAGTGCACTACTGTATTTTCACATCCCCAGTACACAGTCAAGTCATTGTGCTTCTCTCAAGTTAGAAGGCCACTTTCTGCTTGATCAGTTTCACTATCTTCTGACGACAGGAAAAGGAAAGAGTGGTTGTTCTGTGATGTTAGTGCTGCTTGCTATTTCTTTAGCACATCCTAGTCATTTGAACATAGCTGCTGCTCTAGATACTGTAGATATGCTGAGGCCAGAAAAGTGCAACAAGTTGTTACATCTGACTGTCCTCAACAGTGTGGAAGTGCCATTCAAACACACTTTAATTTGAACACTATGTTTGCAATCATTTATGGCTTCTTCATTATCTATTTCTCATCTTAAGAGGACTTGCCATGCCCTGTAACTTACGCTAGTGCACTTTACAGTTGGGCTTCATTTGTTTTCTAACGACACATTGTGATGATATTACCCTGAGAAACGTCATCTGAAACGCTTCACAGGCTGAAGCATTGAGGAATTCGATGAGGAGAGCAGTGCAGGTAGGAAGCAGTGGTCTCCAGCAGGCTGAAACATGTAGGAGATGCTCCACAAAGAACCCCTTGCATTCTTTAAAACCTGATTAGCTGAGGTTCTAATATAAGCAGTCCTCAAATATAAAGCAAGCTGGCAGAACAAATTACCCACAAAATGAAGAAAACTCGCGCCATTTTGTTGGTAATTTGTATAAAGTATTTCCTGTTGTTGTTCAAATTGTTAGTAATTTGGACAAACGCCAGAAACTATTCGGAAAAAAGACCAAATTAGCTTTTAGCTTTAACAGTGCAGCAGTGAGAGGGTTAGAAAAGGAAAGTTGTCACAGCAGTATTTCCTACTCACCTCTTAGTGTGTAGAAGCCTATCCCCTCTCTCTCTGCACTGTGTCTGTCTGTCTCTCACTGTGTCTCCTCCTCATAAAGGCACTACTGTGTGTCTTCCCTGGGGCTGAAGATAAACTGCCTACCCTCAACAGCTTTTACAAGTAAACTTCTCTCAGCTTTAACCCTCTCGCAGCCAGAGATAAACTAGACACAAATATAAACAGCAAAGTATATTCTCTCGCTGTGGGAGGGGCTTCGCCCTAAGAATAACTTTGCTTTAGTGCAAAATTCTTCAGAATATGATTGTGAAAGGCATGCAGCAGCGAGGAGGAACTGTTTTTTAAACCACATACTTCCCCATTTAGCCGTATCTGTTAAGTGCATATCAGCACTCAGAACTCAGTGAGCAGAACACAAACGTTAACAGCCGTCTTTTGACATTCGTCCGCCCCGTTCTTAGCAAAATAACGAATTAAAAGTAACAATAAAAAAATAAAGGTGGGGGACAGTGAGACTTTTAAAAATTAAAATCCGTTTTAAAAATCACTAATATCTTTACATCTTTAATCGGTTTTGTAAGTTTAATCCCAATACAAGATAAGACTTTCAAATTTAAAGAATGAATAAACATAAATAAACGAGGAAGGAGAATTTCGCGATGTTTAAGTAGGTTTGATGAAGCTGCTGTTTTAAAATTTGAAGGCCGCTGTTATGCAACCCTGCGTGGTTGTGAAGGTGTTGCTAGGCCATTGCTATGGTGTCCCAGGATAATGTTAAGGTACTGTCATGCTTTTACTATATTCCATGTGTTTGCTAAGGTGTTGCTAGGTGGTTGCTATGGTATCCCAGGTGGTTGCTAAGGTGTTACTAGGCAGTTGCTAAGGTATCCCAGGGGGTTGATAAGGTGTTGATAGGCTGTTGATAGTCTTAGGTGGTTGCTAAGATGTTACAGTTGCTACAGTGTCCCAGGGGGTTGATAAGGCAGTGAAGGCTTTGCTATGGTATTCCAGGTTGTTGCTAAGGTGTTGCTAGGCTATTGCTATGGTGTCCCAGGTCGCTGCTAAAATGTTGCCAGGCTGTTGCTATGCTACCCAAAGTGGTTGCTAAGGTGCTGCTAAGCAGTTGCTATGGTATCACAAGTGATTGCTAAGTTGTTTCTAAGTGGTTGCTGTTATCCTAGGTGGTTGCTAAGGTGTGTGTGTGTGTGTGTGTGATGTAGCCTGATGGCTGTAGAGCTGTTATTACTGTGCATTAGTGTGTATGTGTGTGAATTTATGTGTACTGTTAAGTGTCTATGTGAGTGATTCCACCATTTATTTTCTAGGGGAAAATACGTTGTATGAAAACCGGGTTAAGCAACTTTATCAGGTGGGCTATATGATCTGTGATCCTGCAAAATTTTGTGGTTAGCCCGAAAACTGTAGGAGTGGATACAATTTTTTTTATTTTGTGCATAGAATAATAATAAGAAGAAGATAATACCAAGAACCATAAGTGCTTTGACAAGGCAAACAAACAAACAAACAAACAAACAAACAAACCAACAAACAAATAACTGCCCACATATCAAGAGAAGCCAGAGAACTCCCTCTGCTGGCTGTATATTATTATTGCATTTGTAGTATGTGAGCCCGTTATTTTAAATTTCGCATCATTTCAGCGTTACTGGAAAAATATATATTAATCGTGATTTAAGTCAGTTTGTACCACTTTATAATTTCAGGCAAAATCTTAACCTTAATGCCTTGGTAAAAGTGTTGGTAAAATTGTCTTCAGACAGAAAAGTTTGATTAAAAGGGAGGATTTTTCAAAGTTTCTACAAATTTTCTATATAAAATTTGTGTTGGTAAAATTGTCTTCAGACAGAAAAGTTTGATTAAAAGGGAGGATTTTTCAAAGTGAATGTCAGAATGACAATTCAAAGTGGTTTGATGTGAAGCGCCGTTTTAGAGAAACATGATAGAAACGTCTGGAGAGCTTAATGCTTTTAAAAGCTCTCTCACATAAAAATATTAGAGCAAAGCCTTCTGTGTGAGACATTGTTTTACAGTAGTATTACGAAAACCTCTAGCCAAAAAGGTCATTTAAAGTACATGCAAGGCAGAGAGAAAAATGGTACTCAAAGAAAACGATCCATGTTACCATTATTTTACCATCAGCGCCAGTTGGCATCAAAACACTCTGGATGACTTTGTTGACATCTCAATAACTCATTCGCTCCCTTGGCAGTAGATGGCAGCACAACACTAAAGATGTGGCGTTCATATCACGTTTGCATGAACTCAAGGCAACTTTGGGGCAATCATAAGTCAGGTCATTGTAAACTATGGTGTTGGAAAATCAGTTAAATAAGATATCTTAGTATGCACACTGCATATAATACAGCTTATTAGCTGAAACTCTCTGAAAAATGTCCCCTTATTACTGTGGTACCTTGGCATCACTGACAGCACTGACCACATACAAAAAGGTCACATCTATCAAGAGTGGGAAAAATAGGTACAGTTATGAGTAATCTTATAAAAATGTGCTTTGGTAGATCACTTGGCTTACTATCATCAGACATGACTGTAACAATGTACAGCTCTGTTTACTGTATTTTGTCTTGACTGAAAATGCATGCATTGATTGTGCTGTGCTGTGTAATGTATTTTCCTATTGCTCTCTTGCTTTTATGAACTATCTTTTGATACTGTATTTAAAGAATGTGGCCTTTACATTGTTCATTTATCACTTTTTCAGATTTATTTATGTACAGATGGAACAGTGTGCTTAAGAAAGTGCTATAGTGCTTAGTGCAAATGAATAATCTTAAATGAACATTGTTATTGCACCCAGTACCCTAAAAAAATGAGACAGACACTTTTGTTCTTTCTCTTGCAAAATGTTTAATGGTTGATCATATAATTTGCCGTCACTTAACAGTGATTCACAAGGACATGGGTTTATCATTCGAGCAGTATAAAAAGCACTGGTTAAATACCTACTTTCAAAAAGGCAATGGCTAAAATATACAATGCCCACATTATTATATCATGTATAAAAAATAGTCTAATCTCCAAGATTACAAGAATATTATAGAATGCATAAATATTTGGCTTTCTAACATAGTTTTTTTCATGATACATTTTACATTTTTATAGACATAAATGATGGAATACACATACTGATCAAAAGAGATATATTGCACAGTTCCCTCTGTATATACATATCCAGCTTCAAGTATGTAAGCATCTTCCTTTGCCAGATATTAGTGTCTGTGTCACATCCACTTTTCCCAAAGATCTCCATATGGGGCTTTGTTGGTGAATGTCTATTAGCTGGTTTAAGTCTCCTTTTCTCCTTTTTGGTCCTCCCTTCCCTGTTCTAGGAAGCTGCTGGTAGAATCCCGGTTAAGTCTATTGCTCCTCCAGATGGTGAAGACAAGGCACATCCTGCGCTGGGAGAGAGACAGAGAGCCTTGTCAGGTCCCAGAGCTCCCTCAGAATGAAAAATATCCCAAACCCATGCACCCACAACTGCTTGACTGTCTGCTACACCGCTGCTTTACACCCAACCTACCCACCCACCTACCCCCACCCACCCCCTCCTTGTTATCTGACTCGAACTCCTGCTCCCCTTTCTTATGAGACAGAACTGCCTGACCCACTTTACACAAACACCCCTTCTTTCCAGGTGACCCGAGTCCTTATCCTCAGTCCTGTCTCTCTGATAAAGGATGGAGAAAGGAGTTCCAGCTGCTTGCAGGTGTAGCGTTTGTCCCCCACCTTTGTGCCTGGAGAGGACACCCTAAAGTTTAGCAAAGGAGCTGTCAGTAGTATTTCAGCAAACTGAGCCGGCATGAGAGAAAAGGCTCAGGACAAACCGCAGGTCGGTGTTTAAGTCCATTTTTGAGGTGATCCACGTCTCTGGGGTCGGAACCTGTTCAGCTTCACACGGCCCTGACCGCCTGTCTCTGCGGCAGAGAGCTGAGGCAGTGAGCGCCTCCTCCTACGGCCGTAACCATGTGGGCTGATCTTATCTGGGGGGGCGTTGTTCGTCCTCTCACGGAGCTGGTTAAGGCGGTGGGCCAAATCGTGCACTGAACAGGTGAGCAGATTACAGCCCCGCTTCACTCTCTCACTCTGACTACTGCAGAGAAAGAGAGAGAAAGAAAGAGAGAAGAGAATAAGGAAAGCAGAAATGATGGAAGGAAAGAAAAATGACAGAAAAAAGAACAAAAGAAAAACAATGAAAGAAAACAGGAGGGAAGAAACAATTATAGAGAGAAGGACAGGAAGAAGGAAGAGAATGTGGAAGGGAAGATAGAAAAAAAAGAAAAAAAAAGAAAAAAACAGAAAGAAGGAAAAACAAAGAATAAAAGAAAGCAATACATAATAATAAGAAAAACAGAAAGACTAAATTATTAAAATGATCTAAATAAAATAGAACATTATTATTGTTATTACAATATTTGTTCTGTTGAATCTGTTCACACTCGCAAACTGTAATGCAGATTTTTCTCCTGCTGGAAGAAAGAGGAAGCGTACCTGTGCCTGTGCGTGACAGAGTCTGTATCCTCATTCTGCTGCTGAAATTCTCCTGAATCTTCTAAACTGTCAGGCACACACAGCTCCCTCCTCAACCTGCTCTGCAGCCACACACTCAGCCTGCATCACACACACACACAACCAAATCAGTCCCAAAGGTTTACCATTAAATTTTAGAATAAATAAACATATAAAAATGTTATTGCTTTGGCATACTTGTCTCCTCCATCAGAGTTGACCTGAAGTGTTGCACTTAGAGCGCAAGGCAAGAGAGTGGCCAGCAAACAGCAAAGAAAAACGCTCTTCATTTTGGACATGGACCTGTAAAGAGAGTTCTGTTAAGTATGTGATAATGTAACAAAAGATAAAATATACCCATAAAGTGCCTGTGAAAACTACTCATTGCTGACAGAACATGGCAAGACACTCTGCATTTGACTGAAATATGTAACATTCAGGCAACTGTTACTGGGCAGAATGTGAGGAAGCAAGTGCTGGGCTGCTTTGCTGGGGGTAGATAAGGCTGCCTTGTGCTAAGTGATGATAACCACAATGCTGAAAGGCAGATGTCTTCCCAACCATTTTCAGACTTGACCTTTGAGGAAATGCAGAAAATAATCCCACTAGGGACAGTTAACTTTGAGCAGTATTCCAAATATACATACCTGAGAAGCTCTATTCTTGATTGGGAATTAAAGAGCTCTACTTCTGACTTCACAAATACTGATGAAAGGTCCAGAGAAACAGGTATTTCCCAAATAACATCCACTTCTCTGTATGGTAGATAAGGATGTAGCTGTAATACTACCAAAGCTCTGAGTGTAAAAGGCAAACCTGGGAGCCTTTTATACTTTACAGGGGGTGGGAGGAGGCGGGAGCTAGTCTGAGTGACAGCCAGCCACATCCCCATTCTAAACTAACCAACAAGTCTACATGCCCTGTCTTATTGGGACAAAGTATGTTCCAGGAATTCTGAGAGAGATTCCTGATTATTTTTTCAACATGATTAAAATGACTCTACTCAATAACACTCCCATGCCGTTTGTTATAGTGCATCTCAAATCCTCATTTTTCATGGTATATTTTCATCTGCGCAAACAAGGAAGGTCAGAGAGTTTTGAGTCTTGGATAGCCTAAATTAGAGTCGCATATTTCAATGGTGTCCATTTACCAGACAAATATTCCTGAATGACAATATTTCATAAATCCTCCATAGCAGTCTTCCTGTGTGTGGAATGCATGTCTTAATTGATCATTTAGAGTTCATTCCAGCTGATAAAGCTTGGAATAACCACCGACCCCCGCATTCCAGCCACCTATGCATTTTGCTAACACGTAAGGAATGTGGATGTACTCATTACTATATCCAGAACAACTAATCTCACACCAGCTGACGATGCAAAATGATTTAAGAACATGTCAATGTTGTTATAATTATGTATTTCCGACTAAAAACTAAGTGTTCATTATTGTAGTCTGACATCATCTAAATGACTTGCTTATTCTTGAAGTTTCTTATAGTCAATATTGTCTAAGACCTCAAATATACTCATTTATTACAGTGATCATTAATTTTACTAAGGAGACTGACATAGGTTTGATATTAAGAGCGTGAAGTCTAATTTTTCCCATTAGCATACTGAAAAAATGTATTATTCACATGCAATTGAAGACGGATAAGGCACTGATAATAAAAAATGAGCCATTCTAATCAATAACAGAGCTACACTAGTGTTCAAAAGTTTGGTATCGCTGTTTTGGAATACATTTTTTCAAAAGCTGCACAAAAGTATTAAATGATGCTATTAAAATCCCACTACTCTACAGCCTAATAGAACAAATTAGTTGAAATCTGTGAAAAATAAGAAACTTTAGACTGTTCACAATGATTAGCAGAGTAGTAGATGATCAGTAGACCCCAACACCTGAGATAAAACATCAAGAATGAGATTCTTCCAGAATTGCTCATATTTAGATATTATAACACTTCTTAGTGTTCCCAAAAGCTTGACACAAATGTCAAGGTTGTAGTAGTTCACTCTACACTGTATAAGCTCAAATTGAATAAAATAACAGTGATTATTAATATTACTAGTGATTCCAGGCTTTTAAACACTAGTGTAATTCTTTGCTGCAGTGATATTTTAGGGGCCTTACTCTGCGGAATAGCTGTTCTGAGTGATGAAGCCTGCTTATGCTCACTACACTTGTGTTTAGTTTTCAGATGCAGTGTTCCAGTACGCTGGCTTTAGTGACCTACTCTGTTACATCAAAATGGAATTGCAAATAAGCTTTGAGCCTCTTGTGACTATGGTAACATCACGTTAAGTACCTCAGAAGTCTCTGGAAAGATTGCAAACAACTGATAAAATGGTTTTTATGTGCTGAGAGAGTGACCATCTCTGTCTTGCCTTTGTCCCCTCAACCATTAAATACTCCAGTTTATATTCTCTCCCTGACTTTTAAAGCCACATAAATAAATTCCAATTTATTTTAATTTAAGTGAATCAGTGGCAACTTTGAGGTCATATCACACAAAGACTCTCTCCAAAATAAACAGCTAATGGTTTAATTGTCTGGCCATTCAGACTTACCAGCAGAGTTGTCTCTGGCCACTGCTAGTCCAGCAGGCCCATGGGTAAACATTGTCTGTACTCACCATGTTTCTCTGGGCGTGAAGTGACAAATGATTGTTTGGATCCAGAAGGACATAGTGTTCCTAGGCTGCCTCTATTCCATTGTATTTCTCTGTCTCTTAGCTAAGATAAGCAGAATTTCTTAAAGTCTTATGATGAAACTACTGACGCTATTGCCTGATGATATCTAGTCCACACTTTTCAGTCACTCAACATATCTGCTCTACTGAACGGCTTTTGTAAGAGAACAGAATGGTCATCTAGTTTTGCTGGTAATGCACTTCATTAGCTGCTCAATCATTCCTTAGTGGACTGGACTTATTATATATTGTACAATACTGTGCAAAAGTCAAAGAAAAATAAGTGGAAAAACAAGAGTATCCAAAACTATTAAAATTATGAAAAAATATATAGAAAATGGGACTCCTAAAAACCATGCAAGACCTGGTAGACCACCAAAACTCTTACCATCAGATAAAAAGTACATTCATCTTTGAGAGATGGGAGAAAATCAAGCCCCTTTTTTGCTTCAGAGCTGAAAAAATCCACAGGTGTTTCTGTCCATCCTTCCATGGTGAGAAGACAGCTCAGTGCTGTGGGTCTGAGAGAATGTGTAGTTGTCAAGAAGCTGTTACTGAGAAAAGAAAATAGACAAAGAACATTTTTTAAAATCAAACAAAGAAGCTTCTGGCGTTCTCAGAACAATGGACTGTCCACCCCAGAGTCCAGGCGTCAGCATCATCGAAAGTGTTTGGGATTACTAGGCTTGTGATGCAACCAACTTCTAAGACTAAACTTTGGAGGTGTGGAAAAACATCCCTACAAATTTCTTGGAAAAAATTAATACAAATGTCCTAAAAAGAATGAAGGCTGCAGACTGCGGACCTCTATTTGATATTATATTTAGTTGCTCAGTATTCTGTGTCATTTTCTGTTAAATATGTGTTTTCTGTTTTTCACTGATACTGAAAAATTAAAAATATGTGATATATATATATATATATATATATATATATATATATATATATATATATATATATATATATAGCATGGGTGTAGATTCCACTGGGGATGGAGATGTATGGAGACCATATTTCCCTAATTTTCAAAACACAGTCTAGCAAAAAGGTTGCAGGGGAAATCCCAAAATACAGTAGGGTCGAAATATAACTGAGTATGTGTAGACAGACACCTCCTGTTCTGAAGCCTATCAGGTATAAAGTGGAGGTAAGGTGACGGACATCTGCAGGTTACATCATGACTGATTAATATCAGTGTTCAGGGATAAAAGCCAAAAACATGGTTAGAGTGAGCATGGATTCTTCTTCCAATCACAAATGAGTCATTGTCTGTCTGTCTGTTATTGTTTTTCCTAACGTCATTATGCCAAAGGAGAGTCACTGACTAGTTTGAACTCTAGGTGCCTTGGAATCCCTGCTATAAATTTGATGTGCTCATTTTAAGGCCTGTAGCAAAGCTGTTTCCTTTTATTTCCTTGCACTTGCCAGATTAAAGATATTAACTGTACCAAGGTTATTTCATATTAAGTCAGCTCTGCTTGGGGTTCGTGTTTGCTCAGCCTATGAGTAAGGGGCGAGGCTTACATGTTAGCCTTTCTAAGATTATGCTGGCTGTTACCGAGAGATCTTGAAGTGCATGAGATTTATTTTTTTTATTCATTTGCTGATTAATATTCATTCCCTTGTGGCTCGATTACATAAGCATTGAGTTGAGATGTGAAATGGGCCTGATTAAAAGCAAGTGTCTCACTTTGCTCTTCAGTTCCAGCCTTGTGTTGTGTGAACACTGCTTTCGTGCACTGAGAAAAATCACAAACAGATCCAGATAGCAGCTTTTTTAGAATCAGAGTAGTGGAATAGTTTATCCAAGGTTGCTTATAATATGTGTTATGTTCTTTTACACAATTCTTGGCTTTAATTAATTCAGTTTTAAAAGACATATAATGTAGAAAACTGAATTTTCTTTATTTTTTTAAATGGAAGCTTAAACATTGTTAACGTTTCAAACTATATAGCTGCTATCCAGAAATATTTACATACATTTTTTTTACATCATTTGGACCCACCAACTGTCCTTTACATTGTGTAAACATTTCATGATGAATAGCGCAATAAAAATGCTGCAAAATGACTTAAATAATAAGGAAAAAAAGGAATAAAATCTCACTGCATTAATGTATTAAAAAGTAAGAAGGTTTTTGCCTTCTCCTGTAAAGTTACTATTTTGGAGCATGTTTTTCTTGGACAGTGACAATATGAAAATTTATCTGCATTAACAACCTGTTTTGAACTTATTACTTTTGTGATGTCATACAAACCAATGCATTTACATTTATCCTCCAATTCAGCCTACAGGAGTTTAGCCACACCCATTAATGCTGAAGTTATAAAGAGTGTTTCAGCCTAGATTGCTTTTTGAATGAGGCGCAATACCAGACAGTGAATCAGAACAGAGAGCATTTGTGTATAATACTTAAAGGCACAATAACAAAAACAGCCTGTTTTATTCTAAGGGATAAAAGAAAGTTGGAAATGGTCATGAATAAATAAAATGAATAAATGACAAAGAATAATGACTGATTTCGGTACGTAGGCAGATCCACAGAAACACCATAAGAAAAAAATAAAATGTAAGCTGGAACATTATGATATGTGGGCCATTTGAGGTCTTTACAGAATAAAAGGTCTTCTAAGAATTGACTTTCAAAGCTTTTTTGCAAAAATACAAGCAACAAAATTGTGTCCATGCATTGGTCTTTGGGGATAATACTAAACTCTTCTAGCATGAAGCATCACTGAACACTGACCTGTGCCTGCTCCTCATACGTGAGGGCCTTGATGTTTCACTCACAATTGCATAACCTTTTAAGCTACTTTCCAAATGAGATGCAAACACTTCCACATGCTTCCAGATGTTTAAAACTATCTCTCTGTGTACACCCCGACAAACCGCCGTCTTGTGGTTCCTACTCCACAAGAACCTCCAGCATGCGCTCATTGCTACACCTTGACTACTTCATTCATTATAAAGTCTCACATGAATTGTGCTTAAACTGGCATAAACTGCTTCTGAACACCGCAGTCGCATAGCTTTCCTGGAAGATAAAGTACACCACCTGTTCTGAAGAACAAAAAAGCTTACGTACACAGTACAAATGAACCCATTTATTGATACTGGAATTCTGTTGTGAGGTTCTTCCGGCTCAACAGGGGTGTTTACACAAGAAGCTGAGACGCATTACCACCATGTAGGTGTTATTATTACATGCACC